TTTTTTGCAGATGTTTAAAGGATCACTGGTAGGGATTATGTTGTAATTTATCAGCAGAGAAGAAAGAAGGGGAAAAGCGGTTTTCTTCTTTTGCTTTTTTTGTTTAAATGTCTGTTGAAAATAGTTGTTGAGCATTTTGGCCCTTGGAGAACTATGGGTGAGGATACACAGAAAGTGAAGGTTGCAGTCCGAGTACGACCACTGAATAAACGGGGTAATACTTAATTTTGAGCTGCCGCAAGAAACAGCTTAAATGTATCTTTTGCATTAAACAAGATTCAGCAGATTTTGAAGGTTCATTGAGAACCTTGGGGATATTTTTGTTCAAAAAATTTTTGTTTAGTGTCATTTGTATTGTTTGATTATTTACATAGTTATCGTTGAAACATACCTACTAATTATTACGTTATAATCCTATAATTATGGATTAATTTGCTTTTTGTTTAGAAATTGATTTGAATACAAAATGTGTTGTTCTGATGGATTCCAAGCAGGCCATTTTACGGCATCCGACGGGAGAGTAAGTGTTGTAACTGATGTTTCAAACTTAGGTAACAGAAGCTTTTGTTTTTGCTGCTTTTCTTCCAATTTACGCTTCGAAAGTGATTAAAGTTTGTTGTAACTGTTACAGGAAAACACCAAAGTCTTTTACTTTTGATCACTGCTTTTATTCGGTGGATCGTGATGACCCTTCTTTTGCTGGTATGTAACAAAAACAGATAAAGTGCCATGGCCCTTTCAAAATATTTTTGGAGTCTATAGGCATTTTAAAGATCCGGAAGGAAAAGGGTTTTAAAAGAGTCATTTTAACTTCTTTGAACCATTGAACATATTAATTATTAGTAATGTGTGAAAATGTCGTGGTGAACTGTACGATACATTTGCAGATCAAGAAGAAATTTTCAATCAGCTAGGATTTGGAGTCTTAGAGAATGCTTTTGCTGGTTATAACGCTTGTATTATTGCGTATGGGCAAACAGGTAATATTTTTTTGAGTCAAATTTGATCTTTCTTTTTAACTTTGCCATTTTTTTGCTTAGATCATCTTTGTCTTTCTAATATTGGATCTTATCATATAACTGAATGCGTCGCTGTTGCGATTTCATGGCCTTTGTTTTTGTTTTTTTTTCACTGTCGGCGTTTTAAACCTTTTTCATTCAGTCGATTAATAAAAGCTATTATTAGGTTCTGGAAAAAGCTATAGTATGATGGGAACGTCAGAAAATCCTGGAATTATACCGCGTTTGTGTAACTCAATTTTTCAAAGAATTGAAGAGTTAACTACCGAAACTTTGGTGTTTAAAGTGGAGGTTTCCTACATGGAAATTTATAATGAGCGAGTTAGAGATCTGCTTGATCCTCGAAAGTCAGTTTACTTCTCTTCTTGTCACTAGATAAGACTAACATAATCACAAAGTGTTCCGCTACTTTGAAGATTATAGACTACATTTATGGCTGTGCGATACAATTTTGATTATAGGCATGAGGAGTTTGATTATAATCTGCAAAAAAGTATTTTTTTCGTTTTTGTTTCAGGGCTTCAAAAAACTTGAAAGTGAGAGAACATAAAATTCTTGGTCCAATGGTCGATGGTTTATCGATACTTGCAGTTTCTTCATATCAGGTGTCAAAATTTGGAAGGATTTTTATTTAGCTGTAGAGCACAGTTTTATTTCCCTCTTTGAATACATATTGGAGCTGATCTCCAAGTTTCACCTCAAATATATTTCTCGCATTATTGTACCT